CGCCTGGGTGGCTCAGTGGGTTAAAGCCTCTGCCTTCAGCTCAGGTCATGATCCCAGGGTCCTGGGATCGAGCCCCGCATCGGGCTCTCTGCTCAGCGGGGAGCTTGCTTCCTCCTCTCTCTCTCTCTCTCTCTCTCTGCCTGCCTCTCAGCCTATCTCTATCTGTCAAATAAATAAATAAAATCTTAAAAAAAAATAAAAAAGGGTCAGCAGGGTCGATTTCTTTTGAGGCCTCTCTCCTTGGCTTGCAGATAGTTGCCCTCTTGCTGTGTCCTCACATGGTTTTTTTGATGTGTGGACAAGCCCCAGGGATCTCCTTCTCTTCTTATAAGGATAGCATCAGATTGGATTAGGGCTGCACCCTAATGGCCTCATTTTAACTTAATCACCTCTTAAACACCTTAACTCTAAATATAATCAGATTCTGAGGTACTGGGAGTTAGGACACCAACCTAGGAATGTTGAGGGAAGCCTATTCAATCCATAACAGGAGGAGAGGGATGAGGCTGGAGTTTTCTGGCCCCTTATTGCAACCCTGAGGGTGCTGCCCCCCCCCCACCCCCCAGCACACCCTCACCCAGTGACCTTTGGTATGGCAGTGCCTGGAGTCCTATAGGCAGACCAGAGGGGATGACCAAGCTCCTGACATTTAGGCACCGATGCTAATTCAGTCCACTGGAACTCTCAGTCTTCCAAAGGGCAAATCAGTCCTTCAGAGTCAACGATTACTTTCTAAAACATTTAATTAAAATAACATTTCTTGCTTTAAAAAATGACAAGGAATTCCCCAGACAACTAGACTTAACCATCTACTATCAGATTAGAAACAATTCACTTACTTCTGTGTCTACCCTAGTCAAGTAGAACACTGAGCAATTATGTGTGTGTTTGCTTAAATTATGCAAACAATTATCCTAATAGGCCACATTGTTTTGTTTTTGTAGATCCAAACTTTATCTGACTTAAGTGGTTTATTTATTAGATCCATTGCTTTTTAAAAAAATTTTATTGTTTTTAATTCCAGTATAGTTAACTTACAGTGTTGTATTAGTTTCAGATGTACATTGTAGCGCTTCAACAATTCTATACATTACTCAATGTTAAGTGCCCTCTTTGATCACCTATTTTACCCATCCCTCCATCCACCTCCCCTCTGATAACCATCAGTTTTTTCTCTGTAATTAAGAGTCTGCTTCTTGGTTTGCTTCTCTTTTTACTTTGTTCATTTGTTTTCTAAATTGCACATATGAGTGAAATCATATGGTATTTGTCTTTCTCTGTTGGATCTATTTTACTTAGCATTATGCTCTCTAGTTCTATCCATGTTGTTGCAAATGGTAAGATTTCATTCTTTTTTTTTTATCATGGAATAATATTCCATGTATAATTCCGTTGTATATATAGCACATCTTCTTTATCCATTCATCTATCAGTGGACACTTGGGCTGCTTCCATACTTTGCTTATTTGCTTCCATACTTCTCCTCCTGCTGTAATAATACTGCAATAAACATAGGGGTGCATATATCCTTTTGAATTAATGTTTGTGTTTGTATTTTTGGGGTAAATACCCAGTAGTGTGATTACTGGATCCTAGGTTAATTCTATTTTCAATTTTTTGAGGAACCTCCACACTACTTTCCACAGGGACTGTACCCATTTGCATTCCCACCAACAGTGCAAGAGGGTTCCTTTTTTCTCCACATCCTTGCCAACACTTGTTTCCTGTGTTTTTGATTTTAGCTGTTTGAGGTGTATGAGGTGATACTAGATCTATAACATTTTAATGTGGCTATTTTGATACAGCAATATTGAAGAAGCTCTTTTGATGACAAGATATTTTGACCACTCAAAAAAAACAAAGAAAGAGGGGCACCTGGGTGGCTCAGTGGGTTAAGCCTCTGCCTTAGGCTCAGGTCATGATCCCAGGGTCCTGGGATCGAGCCCCGCATCGGGCTCTCCGCTCAGCACGGAGCTTGCTTCCTCCTCTCTCTCTGCCTGCCTCTCTGCCTATTTGTGATCTTGCTCTGTCAAATAAATAAAATCTTAAAAAAGAAGAATTAAAAAAATAAATAATAAAAAAAAAACAAAGAAAGAAAATCCTATTAACTTACAGCTTTCAAAATTATAATACTATGTGTAGAACAGGGATCCCCACTCTTAGTCTCACCCATCACAACCCCACTCACAACAAAATTTTCCTTCTTCAAAGATAGCAAATGAATGAAATTTTAAAGATTTTATTGATTTATTTGAGAGAGAGAAAAAAGAGGGAGAGAAAGTACACAAGCATACAAGCAGGGGAGGGGCTTTTTTTTTTTTTAAGATTTTATTTATTTATAGCAAAAGAAATTTTAACATCTCTGGTAACAAAACCTTGGAGGGGGAAAAATAAAAAAGAAGGACCTGAGAAAATACAACTCCAAAGGAGTAGGGCACTTCAATTTTAATGTTCATTCTTTTTTTTAAAAAATATTTTATTTATTTATTCGACAGAGAGAGAGAGATCACAAGTAGACAGAGAGGCAGGCAGAGAGAGAGGAGGAAGCAGCCTCCCTGGTGAGCAGAGAGCCTGATGCGGAGCTCCATCCCAGGAACCTGGGATCATGACCTGAGCTGAAGGCAGAGGCTTAACCCACTGAACTACCCAGGCGCCCCTTTAATGTTCATTCTTATAACACCCTCATCTTTGCAAATTTTGGGGGACTCTGGTTGATTTTGTGGAATATTTCTGGATGCTCTGTTTCCCTTGTCCTAACACTCTTGAGACTATGGAAAATTTGGGACCAATACCTTTATAAGAAATTTATATTAATAAGTATACCGGAAAATAGAATGTAATACACATGAGCAACATTAAATGTGTAACATGTGATCCAGGGATCACACAAAAAGTAAAATCATTTCCAGAACCAGTTTATTTCATCCAAATGTGACCCAAGCCACCTGGTTTCTCTTTGAAAACTCCTCTGAATTGTCTGCATTTATTCCTTTCTAGAGACTGGTGGAGCCTCTTGATGCTACCTGGTCTCCTGAATGCACCTTGCCAGTCTTCCCTGGTGTTAACCTCTGACAGTGTGTCACTATGCTCAATAGAGCTTTCTTACTTTTATTTTTTCATTCATTTTCCTCCGAATTCAATGGGAAGTGCACTTTGTGTTCCTGAAGGTTGGCACCTTTTCCTCTTTTCTTAACCTTTTTTCCTGTGTGGGCCAGAGAGATTTCTCATCTCCACTGAATTTCTTCTCAGAATGAGTCCCTCTGACTTAAGTCTTCAAATTAACAGTCTATTTTGTTAACCTTGGATTGCTTTGAAGTGAAGTTGATCAACGTAATTGTAGTATAAAATCCAGTTTCTGTTTTTTTTAAGATTTTTAAAAAAATTTACTTATTTGACAGACAGAGATCACAAATAAGCAGAGAGGCAGGCAGAGAGAGAGGAGGAAGCAGGCTCCCTGCTGAGCAGAGAGCCCGATGCGGGGCTCGATCCCAGGACCCTGGGATCATGACCTGAGCCTAAGGCAGAGGCTTTAACCCACTGAGCCACCCAGGCACCCCTGAAATCCAGTGTCATTCAAATGGTAAAGTGGAAGAGATGATAAAGTTAGCAATTGTTCAATAATTACCATGGAGAAGGCATGAGCTAATTTTAAATGTCTGATTTGGATCCACTTTTGAGGAGATCAGATGTTAAATAAACAAGGCACATCTGTATAGGGTGGTTTTAACAAGTGATTTAATAATGACACACCTTTTAGAAAAAAATTGTGGTTAAATATACATAGGATAAAAATGAGCGTTTTAACAAATTTTAAGTATACTGTGGCATTAAGTACATTCATGTGCAACTATCACCACCATACAACTCCAGAATTTTTTACCATCCCAAAAGGCATTCTGTATCCATGAAAAACTAAGTTCTCATCCTCCCCCCACCCCCAGCCCCTGGCAACTCCATTCTACTTACTGTTTCTATGATTTTGACTACTTCATACAAGTGGAATTATTCCACATGTGTCCTTTTGTCTCTGGCTTCACTTAGCATAAGGTCTACAAGGTTCATCCCCTGTTTGTTGATTTGCATCCCTCTTGGATGCTTCCCAGGTGTATCTGAAATCAGCCTCTTAAGGAGGAAGGCAGGGAAAGACCTAAGAAAAACGAGGCTACTCCAAGTTGGTAGATGGCAATTTTAATAAGCAAAGGGAGCTTACATACATAGGAGGCTTGCCTTTGGTCACAGCAAGACAAACAGATCCCCACACCCATCTGCCAAATCTTGTTTACTAAGAGGCCTTTAACTGGGTTCATTCATGGTACACCCGGAGGGTGTTCTCAACGTATCATCAGAAGGCTACGTCCTTGGAGCAGCGTCTGGGAGCAGGAAAGGCAAGTGGAACCCCCATTCCAAGGAGAGGGGAGGTGGAGAGATTTACAGTGCCTGGGTCCAGCTCACAGTCAACTGGCAGTTAACACCTTTTCAGTTACCTTCCTCAACACTGTACCAAGTGCTTTGCAAGTATTAATCTACATAATTACTCATCTTTGTATGTTCCCCAGGGTCTAGAAAGTGCTTTGCATGTTTTAAATATAAAATATTTGTGGAATGAATTTCGGTAGGTCTTAAGCATTTCCAGGTGGATCTGCTTGCTCTTCTGGTTGGAAATTTACAAAAGGAGTCCGTTTCTCCCAGGGGCATAATCTGACACTAGATTGCAAGTTTAAAGAACCCCTTTATTTAAGTCACATTTAGGCCAGTTTCCCACTAAGGGAAGCCATTCCTGAGTGACAGAGACTATAGGAAGTGACTCAACGTAATTAAAGTTTTTGTTTCGTTCTACTGAGACCGCAATCACCTGGGAGAAGAAAACTCCGGAAAAGGGAAGACCCGCAGGCTGGGCGGTCCACGTGGTAGACGGACAGAGGAGGCGGGGCCCGAGGCTAGTCGAAGCCCGCGGCGGGGCGGGGCCTGTGGGGCCTGCGGGGCCTGCGGGGCGGGGCCCTGACAGGGCGGGGCGGGGCGCGCCACTGCGCCGGGCGGCGATGGCGGCGGACGGGGACTGGCAGGATTTCTATGAGTTCCAGGAACCGGCCCGGAGCCTCCAGGACCAGGAGAACTGTAACGCGAGCCCCGAGGCCGGCGCAGGGCCGGGCGGGGGAGGCGACGGCTTCCCGGCGCTGGCCTGCAGCTTGGAGGAGAAGCTGAGTCTGTGTTTCCGCCCCTCGGGTCCGGGCGCCGAGCCCCCGAGGGCGGCCGTGCGGCCCATCACCGAGTGCAGCCTCCTGCAGGGGGACGAGTGAGTGCGGGCCCGGCCGGGAGCGGGCGGGAGCCTCCCCTGCCCCTCGCGCTGCCCTCGTCCTGTCCTCTGTCCCTAAGTCTGCAGCCTCAGGGGTACTCCGGCCACAGGCTCCTCCCCGCGCCCTCCTTCCGCGTCGCGAGTCCCCGCCTCCTCTGCTCCCCCGCCGCGCTCCCTGGGCGGCGGGGTGGGGGGGGGTGGGTTCGGCCTCCTGGAGCTCTGCAATTTAAATCCCCTGCTCCCCAGCCCTCCACGCTCCCTTACCCTCTGCCGCTGCCCTCCTCCTGCTCCCTAGAAACCGACCCAGGTTGGGTTCAGAGGGGAACCTCCTTCCACGGAGCAGGTAGTTAGAAATTGCACCTCCTCGGGCACATGTGTAGCCGCTCATTCATTCAACTAGCATTTATTTAAGCGCTAAGTGCCAGAGGCTGCTTCGCGCTGGGAATACCAAGGTAGCTGAACATACCCCTCCCACGTAAGGCACCACTTAGGTTGGGGGGCTGGATTTGTACACAGTATGTATGGGTGTGACAAATGCTCTCCTGGACATACGTGCGAAATATAGGATATAAAAGGGTTGTGTGTGGGAGAGCCAGGAAAGGCTTCACAGGGAAAGAAATGTGCAAACTGGATCCTGATGGAAGAGTGGGAGTTTGCCTGGCAGATGAAGAAGGGTCTAGCATTGCTCCTCGCGATATAGCACGTGCAAAGGTACCAACGCTGAAGCAGCATTTATGCCACAGGAATTTATTGGCTCTATCGGAGAGCCCAGTTGGAGTGCAAAACCCGACAGAGGCAAAAAAAAAAAAAAAAAAAGCTGTGGTTATTAATAGCACGGATCTCCTAGTCTGGTGGGATAACGCATGCAGGAACAGGTAGTTAGTATAGAATTATCTAAGTGCAGTGTTAGCATTCTTAAGGAAATGCGCAAACTGGGTAAGGGAGAGGCAGAGTTCCTGGGGGGGGGGGTTGTACTTCATTTGGCTATCTGGAACCCCAGTTATAATTTGGCTAAATAAGGGTTCTAATTCTGTACCTCAGTGTCACCCCCAAAAGATAGTAAAAGGAATGGTGAGAGTGAGGATGCTGAGCATGTGGTATGGGTCTCTGGGGGAAGGAGTCGCTGAGGAGGTGAGGAAGCTAGGAGTGGAATGAACACTGTGGACATGGGTGGGGGATGGGTTTTTAGAGCCCAGAAGGAATTCATAGATTAGAGGTTAGGGAAGGATTCTTGAGAGATGGAGAGGGATCCACAGGCATAGAAAGGGCCTTTCAGCCTGATGGCCTCCTTTCCTCTGTGAATAAGGTAGGAAGCTTGAACAGAGGAATTTGGGAGTGAGGGCCTGTAAACATGGCTTAGCAGTGGTTGGCACCCAGCTGTGTAGGGGACCATGTCCTCTCCTTGCCATCTGTCTACAGTGTTCTGCCCAGTGTGGAAGGAGGAGCTTATGATTGGATTTTGTATATGGATGTATGCAGCCAATAGCAAAAGATGACCTTTTTGAAGGTCTATTCCTAGAAAAGATAGTTTTATATATACATATGTAGATTTATATACTCTGAATCATTGGGACTCGACATACTCTGGATTAAAACATGATAGTTCTGATGCGTTTAGGTTTGGCAAGAGTAACTTCTCAGAACAGATTAGTGGTTTGTACATAAATGTTAAAGGTTCCCTATTTTTCTTCACCTGTACTGTCTAGAAAGTAGTTTATGTTAGTCTTTGCTTAAATCCTAGGTTGATGTAAAACTTAAAATATTTTGTTACTCTTGATAATGGTTTTTAGTAGATGATATGTTGGTAGTAATGCCCGATTCTTAATTTGGGAATGCATAACACATTTCTTTCTCTCTTTTCAGGGGCCAGGGCTGGTCACTGCTCATTGTCCCTTTTCTGTTGCATACATCTCTCTGTGGCTTGATAGAGTCCATCTCTGCCCCTCTCAGAGAGAGTTGAGAATTCTTTCACTCAGATTTGCGTTGGCTTAGGACACTTTATTTTACTTCTCTGAGCCCTACCTTTAGTTTTGGTTAAATATGGATTGCACTTATCTGCTATGGTTTTACTTCAGAAGGGTATCCCATAGGATTCAATGTCACAGGACTTTGACCTCCTTGGAAAAGAGCTTTCTTGCTGGTTGTTTATGACTGCTTGTAATATTTTATGATAAAGATAAAGGCAATTCATGTCTTGACGGGAGAATTCTAGATATCTTTCTCTTAGGTCAGCCCTGTGTCCTTCCAACTACAATTGTTCTAACCTTGGTGGAGATGGAGGATTGTTATTGTCCTTCACTTTCTTGGGAGATCAAATTTACCCACAGTATCTCCTACTGGGTGAAGTATTCCGCTCCACTTGTCATCTTCTTCCAGCCTCATTTAAGAAGAAACAAACAAGCAGTCCCCTAAAACGTGGACTGTCTTCACCTACTAGAATATCCTACTCGAGTTCCTAACCAAGGTTAGGTATATAGTCAGTTATCCGGTATCTGAAAGTCTTATACTCAGGAAGGTGTGGGTCAGAAACGCAGCAAGTTTAGCTGATTTTAAACAATCCAGAGTTGTTGCCTCCAGCTGGAGTATTTTGGCATTGGAGAAGGTTGTGTTTCTAACAGAGAGGAGAATGGGAATGAACTATGCATATGGGAGATGTGCTGGGTAAATGAGCCAGTTTCCTAGAGCTTTTTGGGTTCACATTTTCATTGAGGCTAATGTGCATTCCAAAGCCAAGCATCATTTTGGGATTTTATGTTTTTGGCAGTTATGGTCCCATTGCTTCTTCTCTTTAGCACCAAATCCCAAATTCATTAAATCAAGTATATTGCTTCTTTATTTTTAAGCTTGCATTCTTATTTTTATGCCTCCAGTGGTCTTGTTTTCGTCTCTTAGTGGCTTACACGTTTGGAAAAAAAGACAAACCCACTCAGTTATTTAATGGCATATTCATGATTAGATATCTGCCTTATACTTTGGGTATTTTTTCTTATGACATTTGTGTATCTCTGCCCATTAAATAGATTATATATGTAGTCTTTAACTTACCCCAATTTAATTTCATCTCATTTATATCTCTGAAGTCATGTTTTATTATGCTGTTATTACTTTGGTACTAAATCTGAATTTTGGTCATGAAGTTGGAATTTGCTGTCCTTATCCAGTGTGACTTAGGACTTCCCTCAAAACAACTCATTTGAAATAATGCTTAAGAGTAATAGAGCTGGAAGGGATCTCTGTTACTCAGGCCTCTCATTTTAGAGAAGGGTGGCTCTTACTTAGAGAGGTTATGGAACATGACCAAAGACTTCACTATTTGAAGAAGAAAGGAAATGAGAGTCTGTGTTTCCTGAATTTTAGTCAAGCACCCTTTCATTTTATTCTTTTGCTCCCCCAAAATGCTGTTTGGCAAAAGTAAGGGTGATTGCATTGGCTATAACTGTTAATGCCCCAATAATGGGTCCTTGATTAAAGGAGCGAGACTGATCCAAAGCGAAGGTCAAGCAAAGCTTTATTTCGTGCCAAGCATCAAGAATCTAACCAAAGGTTCAGAGCCACACCTCTTAGAAGAGAGGGCGACCCTTCTGTTTCACAGACTAGCTTTTAAGGGCAAAGGCCATGCGGTAGGGCCTGGCCACGCACAGGTGGCCAATGAGATTGTAACACACACAGGAAACTCCACAGTGATGCTAGGTGACCACTTGAGTTACAATTTACCCTAGTAGACGTTTGAACCAGCCTATTACACCTTGATTGGGATTGGCACCTAAAGGCTCCCAAAGGGCGGGGCCCATACTCCTTGGTAACCAGGGAGACAGTATGCATCCCCCCACTGTTTGAATTCTCCACCTAGCCTGACCCACCCTTGTATCTGGGCTTTGTTACCTGGAGCTGGTTTCTGGGACTTGTTTCCAAGTAAATCCCCTGGGGGAAGGGGAGCAGGGACAGTTTCTAAATAGGTCCTTACAATAACCTTTGTGCATTTTACTGTGAACTCCCTTTTCTCTCCTCCTTCATTTTATCTGTCATAGTCCTTAGCCTATTATATTACAAAATAGATATTAAACCCCAGACTCACATTGAGACTGAATCCTTTCTCCAGGGAGAATAACACATTTTGGGTTAGAGAAAGATTATTCACCGTATGAAATGATCAATAAGCAAGTGTGAAACCCCGTGTATGTACTACCCGCGTGGCTTGGGACACATTACAGAAGCTCCCTGTATTTCAGTCTCTCCTCTGTGAAATGGGGATAATAATGGTTCTTCATAGTATTGTTTTTGAAGATTAAATTAGTTAATCTATGTAAATTGCTTAGGAGGGTGCCTGGCTAGTATTGTGGAAACGTGACCTGTTGACTTTGGGAGAGTTTTCACACCACTGGATCTTCTCAGCACTTCTTGTCAGCCCAGGGATCCGGTGGTCATTTAGTTTTCTTTAGGGGGCTCTTTGTTGGGGTTTTTCTGGAAAACCTGAGGCCTTGCATTGTTTTGCTTTGACATTTTTTGTTCTTTCTTTCACTATGGTTTTGGTATTTGTTTAACACAAGACATGTGGAGGGTGTTAACTTTCATTGATTGTAGTTTTCTTCTTTTTAAGGATTTGGAATGCCCTGACAGATAATTATGGAAACGTAATGCCGGTAGACTGGAAGTCCTCTCATACCAGGACCCTGCATTTGCTTACACTGAACCTCTCAGAAAAAGGGGTAAGTTAGGAATTGTTTCTGAATAACTGATTCTGATAATAGAACTAAAAAATAGCCTTGCTCTTGAACAGATTCAGTGGGTTGCCAATTATTTCCAAGTTTATAGCCATTGGCGTGGCCTTCTGTTGCCAACTTGGCTCCACCACTGTCAGCTTTTGCTAGCACTTTCCTCCAGTTCTTCCCAAGCATACACTCTCTTTTGTATGTTTAGCCAAATCTTTGTCACCTGGGAATGAACAACAAAGATCAGCGGGTTTTTTGGTTTTTGTTTTTTTTTCTTTTTTTTCTGAGCTTAACTAGCACAATTTTGGTGTGCTGGGAAAACTGGGTAATATACTGAGGGTACTGGGAAAGCAACATTGAGTTAACTTTCTGATGAATTTAAGGACTTGCTGGACATGACACGTTTTCTGAAGACTGTGTGTTCCTGTATTAGATAACCTTTAAAAGACCTTAGGGCTCTTGGCTACCTGTTTGAGCCTGCTGGGTACTCCTCGGGGTTGTAAAGTGAAGGTGCCTTGGGTAACAAGTGTGAGCACAGGTGATGGGACAGCTGGGGTCGGGGTGGACAAAGGGAAGGTCATTGTTTTAGGTGGAAAAGCACAGTGTTCGGTTTATCTAAAGGTGATGAGAAATAGCCAAGTTATATATAAGTTTCAGGGGCTGTTTAAGTTCCTTATCATATAATAATGTAAACTCATTCCAGACCTTTTGGCATGCTCTATGTTTCATTAAGTATCTTTGTGTAATTGAGAGTATAATGCATTGGGGCTGTCAGTACCTTAAATAGTATTGTTAATGTTTTATGTAAACGACTTTCTCAATTATATGATTCAGGACAGCTGGCTGCCTATTATTTTCTAGTAAAATGTGGAGTTCTGCCTGTGCTTCCCAGTATTCGAGTAGAGAGAGAAATCTTGCTGTATGTTCTAGTAACCCCACTAAGCTATTCTGCTGACTGACCTGGCATACATTTTGTGAAAAGGAATAAAACAGCATTCCTTATGCTTTATCTTTTCTTTGGACCCTAGCTATCATTTTGGGCTTGGTTCAAGTTTCCCTTCCCCTCTGAAGCTTCCTATTACTGTTTTAGCCTTTGCTGATCTCATGGAATTATACAATTTTAAAGTTGGAAGCGACTTTAAAGGACACTTAATCCAACCTCTCACTTGGGGGGAATCCCCATCTACGGCCTCTCTGACAGATGGCCCTTTAGCCATGGCCTCAATCCCTGTGTGGAAGGGAAATGCAGCTCTCTCTGTGGGAATTGGTTACACTGGTGGGGGTGTGAAAATCTTCAAGGACTTATTTGTCCCACAGAATTTAGCCCTGTTGTCTCCTGGGTACCGGTCCCCACAGCACTTTGTCCATGTCTCAGACCATTACTTTGTTTTCTTATTAATCCTGTGTTTTAGGGTCTGTCATTGTGATTGTGATTTGCTGGTAGCAAATCTTTTTGGTCTTTTTGGTAACTACCACTGTTCCTGGCACATAGTGAGTACTAAGACAAGTATTGAGTGAACAAAGGAATAATCTTGTCAATGAGACCATAAGGTTAGAGAATATGATGGAAAGTTCTTTTTTAAAAAATAGGTATTTTCTGTATTATTTAACATAGTACTAAATCCATGATAGCCAATCAATGAGTATTTTTTTGGACATACTAAAAAATAGATACTTTCATGGTTTCAAATTGAAGTGCATTGGCAGCGTGAATGGGACACTATAATATGGTTTCATTGAATAAAATGTATGTCTTGTATTGTTCTTAAATCACATCTTGGGAAGTTGCTCCCTTTTTCAGCCTTCTGGTTGTTATTTTCTTTAAAAAATTTTTTTTTTAGTTAACTACTTTTTTTTATTAAAGATTTTATTTATTTATTTGAGAGAGAGAGAAAGGAGAGCATGAGAAGGGGGAGGGTCAGGGGGAGAAGCACACTCCCTGCCGAGCAGGGGGCCCAACGCGGGACTCCAGGATCATGACCCGAGCTGAAGGCAGTTGCTTAACCAGCTGAGCCACCCAGGCGCCCCAGATGTTATTTTCAATGCCAGAGTAATGGTATAGCCAAGGGTGGTGATTTGTAATGACTTGGGAATTTAGTACTAGTAATTGATCTTAATTATAAAAGCCTTATCTGAAAAACTCAGCAGATTAAAGTGGACAAGTGATCATCCATCTGTCATCTGCCTACCATGACACAACTACCCAGGTGATGAATAAGAACTGAAATTAGAACTCTGTTCCTCAGGAAGGAGTAGCACACATTAGGTTCCTGGAGAACAAGGAGCTATGTAAGAAGAGACCTTCACATTCTATTAGATAGCATATTATTACATTTTTTTTAACCTGAGTTAGTTTATTTAGCATTGCCTACTGTATGCTCTGTTGTTTCCATAACCGAATTGTGTTGAATTTACCTTTGGAAGCATCCTTTAGATTATTCCATTTGTAAATAGGATCTGTAGGAAATTTCTTCCTTTTCTTTCTTTCTTTCTCTCTTTCTTTCAGATTTTATTTATTTATTTGATGGAGAGATAGCACAGGTAGGCAGAGTGGCAGGCAGAGGGGGAGGGGGAAGCAGGGGCTTCTCTGGGCTCCATCCCAGGACCCTGGGATCATGACCTGAGCCAAAGGCAGCTGCTTAACCGACTGAGCCACCCAGGTGTCCCTGGAGATCTTTTTCTGGATGAAGGGAGAGGACCTTTCTTTTGCATTAGGATGAGAAAAACATTCAGGAAAACCACCATTTGCCACATTCCAACTTTTAATTTTTCTTCCGTTGAGGTTCAAGATGGCACACTTTTAAATTTGCTGAGTCTTTCTATAGTAAGGGAACTAGTATATTCCAGATTCTTACAAGGGCACATTTTTTCCATTTGAAGTAGCTTCAGTTTCGTACAGGGCAATAGTACCACCAGCTCTGTGTCTAACCTGGCACAGGAAGGAGTGATGGGAATGTTTGGCAAAGAGAAGACACACTGATGCCGAAATGGGAGAGTGAATAATGATACCCATGACAGCCAAGGTTAGTTTTCAAAGCCGAAAGGGATTCCAGCCCTTAACATATGCCATCTCTGTGGGGAATGGACTTGGCTCAGTCCCTGGAAAGATGATCTGGGATCATTATTTCTCTTGTTATGGAAATTTATTCTAATGGTTTACTGGTATCAGTCATGTGTTTGGCAATAGCTATAAAAACTATTCTAAATCCAGTGCCATTTTTGAATATGCTTATATGGGAAAAGGCTTCTAAATCATATTGCCTTAGGAACATCTCATGTGCTTTCTCCTTCCTCCTACCGTGAACGTTTTTTTAAGGACAGAGACTTTGTTTTATGCACCTTTTTATTTTTAAGAGCAGAGGCAGGAAGAAGATAATATCTTCCTTAGGAATCATTTTTAAATGAAAACTTGGATTTGTCTGTAAGAGGAAAAATAAATCTATGGTCCTCCAATTATAATGAAGATTGATTGTGGGAAGTGTTGAAATTTAAGGATCCATGAAGATAATTGCTAGGTCTACTCCCCATCATCCATACACCCTTGTAACTAGATTGTGGCACTTTTCATACCCACCTCTGTAATCTTGAAGTCAAACATCCTCTCTCACCAAGAGCCTAAGCTCTTGATCTTTCACATTCCTTATTAAAAGGATAGCTGGAAAAAAAAAAAAAAAAAGATAACTGCATTGGTTTAAAAGTACTAGAACTAGTATAGACCTTATCATGAAAAAGCAGCCTCTGCCCTCCTTACCCCATGCTTGCTTTCTACTTACCAGAGGCAACCACTTTTAGCTCCTTGAACTGTTTTTTCTGACAGATAACATGCTTTCCTCATTTTACTTGATTTTTTTTTTTTTTTTCAACTTTAGACTTTATCCATTTACTTTCTACTCATCGGTGAGGGTTTAGGTCTCTCTCAGTCCTCCCACTGTCCCTCAACACCGTAACCCTCATGGAAACTTTCCCTTCCCTTGTCTTCCCAATATAATTATATAAAAATAATTGGTTAAATTAATCTTCATCATTTATATTGACTACATAAATATTTACAGTTGACCCATTTCTGTACATCATGAGTGAATTTCCTCTTGTAATTTTTTTTTTCTTAGGGTAATAATCATTGTCTTTTTGTGGTTCATTTAAGATATCATTACCTCATAAATTCAGCCTCAACAGAGCCATAAAACTCGTTTTAGTAAGTGACATGCACCAGAGAACCTGTTAATGTCTCTGCCTCTCTTTCTCTTATCCTTTTCTCCATGCTCCATGCAGTAACAGTTGTTCTCTGAGCTCTTTACTCTCCAGGTGAGCTTCACAGCCATCATTCTGGAACCTTTATTCCACCATCATTACAAGAATTCCCACATTTCATTCTTGGATTACATCCCAGGTCTGCTTCCTTTCTGGTTTTCCTTCTGGTTTGAATGGAGCTTATTCTGCAGTAGCTTTCTGAGAAAGGGTGATTGAGGTAAAATACTTTGAGATCTTGAATGCCTGAAAATGTGTTTATTCTGAGCTCCCAACTAATTGTTACTTTAGCTGGAGATAGGATTCTAGGCTGAAATTTATTGAAACATGGAAATAACATTGATTTTTTTTCTTCATCTCGTTTGTTGCTGTTGAGAGTTTAAAAGCCATTTTGATTCTTGATCCTTTTCATGTGATGGTTTTTTCCCTCTCTGGAAGCTTTTAGATTCTTCTTTTTCACACAGTGTTCTAAAAATTCAGAATGATACACTGAAGACCATGTCCAGGCCTTTCCTAGTCTATGGCGCAGTGAATTCAAACCCAAGGAGGTGTGTCTTCACCGAGTTACAACATGGACTTGCATTATGTGGTAGGACAAGCCCCAGAACTCTGATGTGGCTCCTCTCCCAGACTGACATTCTGAAAGGCAGCACTTGTCCATTTTCACCTACTGCATTTCCCAGATAAGGCTTTACAATTAGGACTAGTACTTAATTTTTGGTCATGATTTTTGGTGTGGGCAGCTTAAGGGACACCAGCTAGGTAGGCATGGTGTGATAACCCAGGGTGGGCAACGGTAAGCAGTAGTAGCACCCCTGGGCATGAAGAGGTAAGGAAAGGAGAAGTTACCAGAACCCAGAGAGAGTAGCTGTAAGGGGACAGGTCTGCTTGACAGGCTCTGCTGCTTTTGGCAGTCTGGCCAGGAGGGGGACAACGGAATGAAGGTCCAACTCTCATCCTCCCACCCTCCAGTCTCTTGTGGTTTGTGTCTGCCGGTGGTTTTTAACCCACTGGAAGCCAGAAGTCCAGGCCATCCTTTGATTTAGTGTATAAAGTTCAGCGTCCTGATGCCCAGAGCAGGGTGGAAAATGGCGGTGAGGCAAATGAGAACCTCCAGCATGATTACATTGAAAGATTTTCTTGGAACCTACAGAGATTTTATTTTTGGAAGAAGAGCTGTTCCCCTGTAAGGCAAAGTTCGACTCTTGTGGACAGTGCCAGGGAACCAATTCCTAATCTTTTATCCTGAATGTTAGAAGTTAGTTTGGCAGTAATTAACTTTATGTTATCTGTGGAATTTTAACGTACACCCGTCCTACTGTTAGATCGTGAACTAAATAACATTTGCTGCTAAACCTGCCTATTACCTCCCTCCCCATCTCCTGTAATTCCCTACGACTTCTAACAAACGCTATAAATGACCCTCTTCCCCAGGGAGAAGCAGCTAAGCCTGTGTCCGTATTGGGGATTAGGGGAAGCGTTAGGGGACGCATGCGGCACCTCAGCAATTTCATGTTTATTTTCCCTTCCCCCCGTTGGTGTCTGAGATGAGTAAAGGACTTCAGTGCCCCCTGGCACGGAGCGATCGTAATCATTCCTCCCTTTCCAGGGAAGACTCTTCTTTACCCGGACGCTGCGAATTTGTTGTGATCAGGATGTCCTGCTTTTAACAGTGGGTTATTTTGCTTTCAGATAAGTGACAGTTTGCTCTTTGATGCATCGGACGACGAGGAGCTGAGAGAACAGCTGGATATGCATTCGATCATCGTCTCCTGCGTTAATGAAGAGCCGCTCTTCACCGCAGAGCAGGTAGAGACAAGACCTTCGTCCAGGAAAGGAAAAGGAAACCTCAAGCTGAAAAACAGTTTCTTCCTGGGGCAGTAAGGGATGGGTTGTCGGGATTTACTTCTTTTTCCTGCATTTTCTGTGTAGGTAAGCTCATCCGTTACGTCCTCCACGGAGAAAGGAAGAAGGTGTATGTAATCGGAAGCAGACGGGATCATGTTAGTTGGGAAGATTTTCCAGTACAAGCACTTTCCCAGTGCAGGCCTGGTTGAAACAGTGCAGCAAGTTACCAAGGGCGGGTTAGTGCTTCACCTGAAATCAGAAAAAATACTGTGAATTGTGTACTTTTTCAAGAGTTAGCAAGACATGGCAACCTATACCGTATCTGTGCGGAAACTACCTACTTTCTCTAAAAGCCTGTGTAAAAATCATCCGCACCTATTAGAAGTACATATTGTGCGCCCAGAAAAAGGTGAGCGTGATTCCTGTGGAATGCTCTAATAACGTCAGCCCCGTATTCATTTAAACCACTCGCATCAGCTTTCTCAGTGTCTGAATACTCTTCCCACTTGGGTTGGGTTGTCAAACTCCTGAAGTAATGCGCTCCAACGCTGCTCTCACTGCAAACCCTCCCAGAATAAAGCTTTCGGCTGGAAACGTGAGGTCACTGAAGAGATAGGCTGTGGCCAGGTTGGGAGGAGTCTATTAAACGTGTGCCATTTAGATGCTCCTTCGTCATATTTGTGGTTGGATTGTTCTAGACCTGGAAAGAGTGTGGTGCTTAAAATGCCAGATAATGGGGATGGAGGGCTGTGGGAGGTGGAGCGTGATATCCTGGGGAAATAGCACAACCCCGAGGGTTCATTGTCTCCTCGGGTAATCTATCTGCCTGAATGCCAGAAGCCTTCCTCCTCCCAAGATTTAGCCAAGCAGATTCTGCCCTCTTCTCCAGGGTTTCATTGTGCTCTTTTACAATGCCTGTTTGAGAAAATCTTCTTACTAATTAACATAATCCCCACCTCCTTCAGATTTACTCTTCTTTTTCTCAGTACAAGTATTACATCTTAAGCCTGCTGATTCATCCCGCATTTTTTTCTAATAGTTTTTTTTTTTTAACTCTTAGATCTATTTTTTCTTAACTGTTGAGTAATTTTTCTGATTCTAAGTTCCCACTGACTAATGAATGTATCCTTCGCAACTTTTAAATGTGGAGCAGGACAAGATAACTATCGTAAGATTTGAGCAGTGTTGCCCACGACAGTAGATTATTGTTTGAAAGACAGATATTTCTGAAATTTTCCTGCTTCTGTGCAGCTCTCTTTTTCTCTTTTAAGCTTCTACATTTCAGTTAATTTTGAGTATCTCTTAATCTTCCATTGAGTTAATACATGAAAATATTTTTCTGCTGTTAAAGGAAAAATTTGCTGCTGTGGAGGTAATTTTTTGCTTTATATAACAATTTTTTATACTTTCTTTTTTTAAATTTTATGTCAATTTGATGAAATCCTTTAAACTGAGCACTGGCATGTGGTATGTTTTCTGTCATTTGCTTTCTTTTGACTATAATCTGGCTCTAGCACATCCGAAGTAAATTATACGTGTGTTTTTGTGCCATTTCTAAGACATTGCAAGATCTGACCGGGCTTACTGAATCGTGATGGACATTAAATCATACTCTTGAATTTTGTGCTTAGCATATTGTTTTTTTATTAACCACGTTCACTCTTAAAATCAAAATTTTGTTTATTCAGAACACTAGCTCCTCCTGCACACCATTGGCCAGTGGAGAATTCAGTGCATTTCTGCTCTGGTTGCCTCAAGTGAGCGCCGCGGGCAGGCAGGTTGTTCAGCTGAGTGTCCCCGAGTAACAGTGCTATGTGTCCGTTTTGGAAGGTTATTGAAGAAATTGAAGAAATGATGCAGGAGTCTCCAGACGCAGAAGATGATGAAACGCCCACCCAGTCAGATCGGCTGTCCCTGCTGTCCCAGGAGATCCAGGCTCTTCAGAGATCGAGCACAAGCAGTCACGAAGAGAGTAAGACACCGTCCTTAAGTCCGTGCTCTTCACACTTCCTGTGTGTCTCCATCTCCAGGAAGCTCGGACTCGCACAGGCCATGATACACACCCTCCTTCAGCCCCCCAGCAGTGCTCGCGCATATTCTTATCAGAGCTCAGGGACTTGGTCATGGTCACCTTTGAATCCCATACTAGCCGGCTTGGGCTGCTGTAACAAAGTCCTGTAACCCTGGTCTTAAACAACGGGAATTTATTGTCTCAGAGGTCTGGAGGCTGGAAGTTCAAGATCAAGGTGTCAGCAGGTTTGGTTTCTTTTGGGGCCTCTCTCCTCAGCTTATAGGTGGCCGTCTTCTCTCCGTCCTCATGTGGCCTTCCCTCTGTGTGTGTGTGTGTCATTTTGTAAGACAGCACTCATCCTGGATTAGGGGCCAGCCTAGCAACCTCATTTTTACTTACCTTTTTAAAGACCCCCATCCCCAAATACAAGCACATCCTGACATAGTGGGGGTGAGTGTTTCAGTGATGTCCTGGCCTCCCTCACATGAGCCTCACTCACATGCTGAGAAAAAACTGAAGGGGGGTTTCAGGGAATAGTCTTTTCTTTCATCTTCCCAGTCTTCAAAAAAATTCACACATTGGGGCACATGTGATCCAGTATGTTCTTGGTTTAAATTTTTTCAGTTCAACTCCCGTCTTCTGAAGTGTGCTAGAACCCTGCTAAACTGCGTGCAGTTTCTTGTCAGCGGGTAGTTTCTGTACTCGCCCTCGCCTTTTGTGTGTGTGCTTTTCCTTGTATGAGCTTTTTTCCATCCGCTCCTAGGATGGCTGAGTTAGGCAAGTAAAGAATGTTGTTACACTTCTCAGCTTTTTGAGAAGGAAGTTTGCCCACCTACCTCTGCTTAGTCCCGCCCACCAGAAGCTTTAGGATGACAAGAAGATCTCCCACAGTTTAATTGTTTAGAATATGATCCTCGCTCTTTTGGCCTAAAACACCCCATCGTGCCGCTCTCTTGAAACCGTTTTGTCTTAGTACCTGCCGTGCTTTGCTTTTGGTCACAGGAGTAAAGAGGCTCTCAGTATCTGAGTTAAATGAACTACTGGAAGAAATTGAGACAGCCATCAAGGAATTCTCCGAAGAGCTGGTGCAGCAGTTGGCCCTGCGAGACGAACTGGAGTTTGAAAAGGAAGTGAAGAACAGCTTTATTTCCGTTCTCATTGAAGTGCAAAACAAACAGAAAGAGCACAAAGAAACAGCTAAGAAGAAAAAGAAACTCAAGAATGGCGGCTCCCAGAATGGGAAGAATGAGAGAAGTCATATGCCCGGCACAGTAAGTGGTGTTCTGTGGGAGTCTTCTTGCGCTGGGAGTCGCTCCGTGGTGGCCCCAGGGCTCCCGGCCCAGACACAGGCAGGTGGGGCCTGTGTGTGATGGAGAGCACTGATGGGGCTCTGGTCAGGGAGACCCGGTGCTCAGCTCTTGCAGGAAGGTGTTTTCTTGGGGAGCACATAATGGTTATCCGGGTAACTCGGCGCTGAAAGGTTTAGGAGGGAAGTGAGTGCAGGGAATGGGGTGGGGGGAAGTAAGGAAGGAGGTGACCTTCAAGGTGGCCACTTTAATACAGCAAAGTGTTACTAGTGGTTGCTTATGTTTGGCTGGTGGGCTTACACGTGGTATTAGTATTTTCTTGTTTTTGCTTCTCTTGTATGAGTGGTATAATAAAAAGTGAAAAGGGGTGCATTTAAAGGTAGCTGAAGTGTGCTGAGCCTCAATACAGACTGATTTGTAATCAACTTCCTCCGATTTACCAGTGAAGTTGGAACGAGGCGGGGTTAGAGGCAGTGATGTGGCATCGGGCATTTGCCCAGTAGTGGGCAGATTAGGATATTTCTGACCAGTGAAAGAAAAGTTTAGAATATGTGAATCTTTGACTCTTCGTAGGAAATTTCTAGTTTTCTACCTTTTCACTTTGCTTAAGTGGTCCTATTTTGTGCGATTAAACTCCATCATCAACATTAACTAATTACACGAGATGCATTTCTTTAGTGATTTTAGAGCCTTTTCATTTTTCTTTGATCAGTTGAGCCCTATATTGCCACCTTCATTTTGTTTGTGTATGAAGAAATGTTGATTTTATTTTTTTGGAGTATAATTGTTGGGCAAAGGGATCCATTTTTCTAAAAGGAGTGCCCCTTTTTCATTCATAATTTTGATAACATGGTAATACAAATCACCACAAACTAGATAGTATGGTTTGTAATAATATAAGTTCTGTCTTTGATTAAGTTTCAATTTATTTGTCTAAGGAATACTTGTCAGAGAAATGGTTCTCATTAACCAGACTGCTGGAACCCAGGGAAGAGAATGACGTCCTAGGTTGCTGGGTCACCATTGAGCACTTGATGTGAACGAAAAGAATCTCCCCATTTTAGCCTATTCATTATCTGCTTTTGGCATGTGAGTAAATGGACATTTCCTTAGTGTAATGTCCATTTGTTTGCTGAAAGGACATAGTTCATAAAAGGACTTGGAAAAAGTTCTCAGATATGTGGTACAAAATATTTTTGAGAAATGGCAGTATGGATTGCAGAGGTGTTCTTTAGTCGCTTCTAGGGACTACTCTGGAAGAGCAAAAATAAATAAATAAATAAATCCAAAAAACCCCAAACCCAAACATTTGTTTGAATATACAGTTCTGGAAAGTTTGCTTTAAATTTCCAGAGCAAAACTTATGTCTTATTTAAAAAAAAAAAAATTGCACCTTTTAAATTGTCCTGTTATTCAAGTGTGATTAAGCGAAATGCCTAGTTGAAAAGTCTTAGCATTGTTGGTAATTTCTGTCTGCTGTTAAGAATTACACGTAAACCTTCCATTTATTAGTGTTAACATTTGGCTGGGGGAAATAAATTTATCCCGAGAGGTGTTTAAAGACTTCTTTTTGTAACTCCCCTATAAAAAGTGTTTGAGTGGGTTCATGGTGTAATTGTACATGGCATTTATATTGAGAAATGGATTTGGCAAGGCAACATTTAGATCTCACTCAAACCTTTATGAGTCTTGAATAGAGTCATAGTAATAGTTTTTTTCACAGTATTTGGACTTGTTAAAGTGCTTTGTGAGTCCTGATCTACTATTAGTAACAAAACCTTTAATCAGGTTTCTTTTTTTAAAAAAATAATTTCTTTTTTTAAAAGATTTTATTTATTTATTTGACAGAGATCACAAGTAGGCAGAGAGGCAGGCAGAGAGAGAGGAGGAAGCAGGCTCCTTGCTGAGCAGAGAACCCGATGTGGGACTAGATCCCAGGACCCTGGGATCATGACCTGAGCTGAAGTCAGAGGCCTAACCCACTGAGGCACCCAGGTGCCCTTTAATCAGGTTTCTTTCTTTTTTTTTTTTTTTTTAATTTATTTGACAGACAGATCACAAGTAGGCAGAGAGGCAGGCAGAGAGAGAGAGGAGGAGGAGGCAGGCTCCCTGTTGAGCAGAGAGCCCGATGCGGGACTTGATCCCAGGACCCTGGGATCATGACCTGAGCCGAAGGCAGAGGCTTTTAACCACTGAGCCACCCAGGCGCCCTAATCAGGTTTCTAATGGCATTGCTAACCTTGCAGTACTGGTTCCCTCTATAAGCTGGAAGAAGACCCTCCCATCTGTGACAGAAGGAGCCTGAAATCTGTGATTCTGAAAAGCGTGGTAGGAGGCTCAAAAGAACCCTAAAGTGAAACCGCCAATTGGATAAACAGATTGCGAAAGATGTTACCTTGTTAGACATTTTATGTAACATGCAGCTTGGGCAAGGCCTCTTTCTCTGAGTTAGCTATCAGCAGTGATACAAATGTCTAAAAATTGGTGACCTTCCTACGGCTATCATGCGTTACCTGTTTTCTAATAACATTGGTCACTTTTTTCTTTTTACCTTAGATATTTTTGTTTTATTAGCAGGACTTGGTTTTCTCTCCTTAAGCATGGAATAGCTTCCTTCTGTTTTTTCTTAAACATGTTTCATTGAAACAAAACATTCATTTGTAGTTGGTATAAGGCTTTATCCATATTTGCTAGCTCTTCTCTTTGGTCCAAAACACTGTAAAGAAATACCTGGATGGGAATAGAGCAGAGTTAAACTCGTTAGGTGTTAATTTTGGAGACATTTTGTTTCAAACATTTTTCTGTAGTGAAAAAAGGGTTGGGGGCTCAGGGATGCTATTTAGAGCATTAGACAGTTTTGAGGCCATGGGAATATTTTAAAAGTATTGAGTTTCTTATATAAGTGAGATGTTATCCTGATTTGTTTTATTTTTACAATCTGCTACGTGTTGGATAGGGTAAAGCAACATACATTCACTCAGCAGATACTTGCCGAATGCCTTCCTTGTGCCGGGCACCGCTGAAGATACAGTGGCAAATAAAACAGAAAAGGCCTGTGGCCTCTTGGAGTTTATATTCTAATAAGGGGCACAGGCAATGAACAAAGAAAGAATGACTAGGCAATGTAGTTTCTGATAGTAATAAATGCCACCAAGACAATAAAATGCTGGATAAGGCAGTTGATAACAATGCTTTTGGGGATCTGTATCTGTTACAGCAGTCACCGTGTCACTACTCCTTATGAGCAAGGTAGGCTGTCCGTTCTTTTTCTAGTGCTCTGTGTGGAGGGGAGGTCAGAGGAGTAGATCTTCTCTTTGGGAAATGAGACTCAAGAGAGCAGAAAACTCTCTTTTTTCTGTTGTTCAGCATCAGGAGAAAGAGAGCAGTGGGAGTGGAGTTTGGAATGGTTGATGGGTACTGTCTGTTAATCACTATGGTGACTTGCATGCATTTTTTTTTTTGGAACTGACCATGTTGTTTTGGTGTTTTTATGTATGCTCCTCCCTTTTCTGGAGTGGCCCTCTGTTCCTGTTTTTCCCAGTCCACTTTGGAGATTTTTTTTCTTTTTAACTTGACCTTCACAATCCTGGACAAGCATTATCTTCCTTTCTTAGAACCTTCCTCGATGACTCTTCATCCAATGCAGAATTGACTACTCTCTCCTTCTTTGGGGGTTAGTATTATTCCTCTTGACTATTTCTGTTGGCACTGTCATACTATATTGTAGTTTTTTGTTTTTGCATCTGTCTGACATGGGTCACTAATGATAGGAATATTATCTTAATATCCTTAGGTATAACATTCGGTACTAACAAATTTCTGCTCATAAATGTATGAAAGAGATAAACTTGCAAATCTGTATTTCTATTTAGGGTCTTTCTGTCAGGTGCCAAGCCCTCGGAGGCTGAAGAACCTGTTGATGAAGAATTTTAGGTCAAGAGCTGTATTTGAGTCTGCTCCTGCTGCTGGGTATATCTCCCTTTGAGATTTGAATTTTGGAAGGGTTAAATGAAGTAATGTATGGAAGAGTAGCATATATCCTGAGTAAATGCTAGTTATCATATGTCCAACTGCCTACTAGTTATTTGTCTCTGAAATTTATCAAACTAAAGTTACCATTTTCCTAGAGTTGAATTTGTTTCTTATATATTTTTCTTTTGGTTAGTTGAACAGTCTACTCATTCACTGAAATCAGTGGAATTTCTAAGTCAAAGGATATTCAGTTTTTGGAGGGATTTAAACAACCATCTTTTTATATAGTTCTACACAAATGAAACCCAGTAATAGCATAAGTGAGTGGCCATTTCCCACACCTCCAACCAACAATGGGTGTTGTTAGCCTTCTGATATATACTGATCTGAAAGGCAAACAGTGGTTTGATCTGTTGACTTCTGTATTCGTTTGTGAGTTGCCTATTAAGTCACGTTTGAGATGTTTTCTGTATTTATTTATGAGGGTACATGCACTTCTGATCTCATAGTATCGCGCTCTGTTGTTACCATTGGATGAAATCTTACCTGGGAAGGAGTACAGCCTTCCCAAAAGCTCATTCACATTATTTCATTGTACAGCATCTCACCTAATTTTTGGTTCTTTGCACATCACTTAATGTCTGTTTGTTGAATTGAAACTTCGCTATAAAGGAGATAGAATCCCAAAGGATTTGGATTTGTCCTATTTGAATTGTTGTTCTATCAAGGATTTTTTGTCGTTGTTTTTGTTGCCAGTCTAATGTTTATGTTGTATAGAGGCACAGACCATTGGATTTCAGTGGCAGTTCACATGAGTATAAGAACAAGTCAAAGTATACCACTTACGTTTTAATTTAGCAGTGGTTGGCACCTAGAAATATCTGAAGTTGTAAAGACGTGTTTACTTTCCTGGCATCATACATCAGTATATGGATGAAATGGACATACTTCCTCCTTTAGGATCCTTAAAATAATGTTTTCAAATTAAAAGT